CAACAACAACAGGTACAACAGGTTGCACAACATCATCAGGTACAACAGGTTGCACAACAACAGGTACAACAGGTTGCACAACAACAGGTACAACAGGTTGCACAACAACACCAGGTACAACAGGTTGCACAACAACATCAGGTACAACAGGTTGCACAACAACACCAGGTACAACAGGTTGCACAACAACATCAGGTACAACAGGTTGCACAACAACACCAGGTACAACAGGTTGCACAACAACACCAGGTACAACAGGTTGCACAACAACACCAGGTACAACAGGTTGCACAACAACACCAGGTACAACAGGTTGCACAACAACACCAGGTACAACAGGTTGCACAACAACACCAGGTACAACAGGTTGCACAACAACACCAGGTACAACAGGTTGCACAACAACAACAGGTACAACAGGTTGCACAACAACATCAGGTACAACAGGTTGCACAACAACACCAGGTACAACAGGTTGCACAACAACATCAGGTACAACAGGTTGCACAACATCATCAGGTACAACAGGTTGCACAACAACAGGTACAACAGGTTGCACAACAACATCAGGTACAACAGGTTGCACAACAACATCAGGTACAACAGGTTGCACAACAACATCAGGTACAACAGGTTGCACAACATCATCAGGTACAACAGGTTGCACAACAACAGGTACAACAGGTTGCACAACAACAGGTACAACAGGTTGCACAACAACACCAGGTACAACAGGTTGCACAGCAACATCAGGTACAACAGCTTGCACATCAACATCAGGTACAACAGGTTGCACAACATCATCAGGTACAACAGGTTGCACAACAACAGGTACAACAGGTTGCACAACAACAACAGGTACAACAGGTTGCAACAACAACAGGTACAACAGCTTGCACAATCAACATCAGGTACAACAGGTTGCACAACAACAACAGGTACAACAGGTTGCACAACAACATCAGGTACAACAGGTTGCACAACAACATCAGGTACAACAGGTTGCACAACAACAACAACAGGTACAACAGGTTGCACAACAACATCAGCACAACAACAACAACAGTACAACAGGTTGCACAACAACAGGTACAACAGCTTGCACAACAACAACAGGTACAACAGGTTGCACAACAACAACAGGTACAACAGGTTGCACAACATCATCAGGTACAACAGGTTGCACAACAACAGGTACAACAGGTTGCACAACAACATCAGGTACAACAGGTTGCACAACAACAGGTACAACAGCTTGCACATCAACATCAGGTACAACAGGTTGCACAACAACATCAGGTACAACAGGTTGCACAACAACATCAGGTACAACAGGTTGCACAACATCATCAGGTACAACAGGTTGCACAACAACAGGTACAACAGGTTGCACAACAACATCAGGTACAACAGGTTGCACAACAACAGGTACAACAGGTTGCACAACAACATCAGGTACAACAGGTTGCACAACAACATCAGGTACAACAGGTTGCACAACATCATCAGGTACAACAGGTTGCACAACAACAGGTACAACAGGTTGCACAACAACATCAGGTACAACAGGTTGCACAACAACAGGTACAACAGGTTGCACCACAACAACATCAGGTACAACAGGTTGCACAACAACAGGTACAACAGGTTGCACAACAACATCAGGTACAACAGGTTGCACAACAACAGGTACAACAGGTTGCACAACAACATCAGGTACAACAGGTTGCACAACAACATCAGGTACAACAGGTTGCACAACAACATCAGGTACAACAGGTTGCACAACAACATCAGGTACAACAGCTTGCACATCAACATCAGGTACAACAGGTTGCACAACAACAGGTACAACAGGTTGCACAACAACATCAGGTACAACAGGTTGCACAACAACATCAGGTACAACAGCTTGCACAACAACATCAGGTACAACAGGTTGCACATCAACATCAGGTACAACAGGTTGCACAGCAACATCAGGTACAACAGGTTGCACAACAACATCAGGTACAACAGCTTGCACAACAACATCAGGTACAACAGGTTGCACAACAACATCAGGTACAACAGGTTGCACAGCAACATCAGGTACAACAGGTTGCACAACAACATCAGGTACAACAGCTTGCACATCAACATCAGGTACAACAGGTTGCACAGCAACATCAGGTACAACAGGTTGCACAACAACAACAGGTACAACAGGTTGCACAACAACACCAGGTACAACAGGTTGCACAACAACATCAGGTACAACAGGTTGCACAACAACATCAGGTACAACAGGTTGCACAGCAACATCAGGTACATCAGGTGGCACAACAACATCAGGTACAACAGGTTGCACAACAACATCAGGTACAACAGGTTGCACAGCAACATCAGGTACATCAGGTGGCACAACAACAACAACCACAGGTACTACAGATGCTGCTACAGTTACTACAAGGACAGAACGGTTCACAACACTCTATCAACAACAGGGTCAACAACCACCTTATCAGAATATTACCTCTAATAGTTACTGACCTGGGGTAGCCCCTTGGTCACTGGGGAATCCCGCCTCATCCCACTCCCAATCCCAGTCCTACACCAAACCCCTCATAGTTCCTTCCCCCCCTGGTCAGGCACCCCCTTACACTCCCAGTACTCCGTCCTATAGACCGGGACTTGTGGCGACACTCCCGAAGTTGTCCTTGCCAAGGTTAAATTGTGCTGAGCTCCCATCGAATAAAGTGGAACGCAACCGTTTCGTGGAAAATTGGTTGTGGGAGATGGATTCTGTGTTAGCCGTGGCTCCTGATGATGAAACTAAAATTAATCTGGCCACTGGGGCATGTGTGGGTCGCGACGGGCCCCTGAGGAAGTCTGAGGAATTCAGGCATTTGGTGACGTGGCCACAATTCGTGCATCATCAAGGACCGATTTAAGGCAAAGATTGCTAAAGAGGAGGCTCGTTGCTACTTAACGTCACTTCAGAGGGATAAAGGCACTCAATTAAAAGATTTTGGTGCCTTCCTTAGGACCAGGATAGGCGATCTTACTCAGGAGTTGGGTTACGATGCGCAGCAGGAGGAACGGTTTGCAAAGCAGTTATTTTGTAAGGCCTAGCCCGCTCATATTGGTCCATACCTCGCTACGGACACGGCTTCCCTGAGTTTTAGGGAACTCGTACAATACGCCGAAGATCATATAGATGAGGACTTGGATGCGGAGGAGGCGCGGTCGTCGCCATATGTTAATGCAGTGAGCAGGAAGGTAGAAAACGGGCGAGGGGGCAATAGGTCAGGCCCCTCCCAGACGAAAGCGGGGAACGGTGGACCACGCAACAACCCCCACGTAATGACTGGTGGGACTCACGTACTTGTTTTAAATGTGGGAAAAGGGGCCATGTGAAAGCGAAATGCCGGAAGGTGACAACAGAAACATGAGAGAATTCCGCCTCGTGTGGTGGCAGACCTACGTTTGAGATGACGGTTGAAGGTGTGAGATTGACAGTTTTTGTGGACACCGGAAGTCAAGCAACTCTCATTAAAAAGTCAGCCTTCAGCACACTTAAAGAGACACGCCTTAAGCGTTGCAGGAAGCATTTAACAGCAGTAAATGGTCAACATATTAATATCTTGGGCCACGCCACTCTCAATTTTGAAGTGGGTAAGGAAGAAGCTTACCCACACAATTGCACGATTGTCGAGAATCTTGCATTCCCTGGTCAGATTTTGTTGGGAATGGATTTTCTGGGACGAGTTAACTTTTCTTTGTCTGCTCAAGAGGGAGCAAGGAAGTGCAGATTGAAGTTGTGCCAGGTAGTTTATCCCATTAAAATGGTAGATCATCCTCCAGTAATTACTTCCATTAGCATGAAACAGAAGTACAACATTCACTACCCTAAGGGGACATCTATGCTCAAATCCAAAAATTTCCGAAAATTTACGAAAAATCCTGAAAAATACTACAACGTTCTGGCAACACTGTGGTCCAAACCGTTTTATATTATCTTGAAAAATAACGTAATTAGAGTCAAATTTCCCGCTGCAAGTTTCCCCATTCCGGTTCTCGCGGCCTGGGTGCGCCGTGGGGTATTGCGTCTTACGTTGTAGCTGTCTAATATTTCGTAATAGCGTTGAAAATAACGTGTGATGCATAAAACAAATATAAACTCACTCATTGGCAACAGTCTCGTGTGAGAGAGGGGTGGGATTACTGGCATACAGTCAGTCACTCTGTGTGTCCCTCAGCTGGCGGATCTATCGTGGACGCGCGCTCACAATATCTCCCAGAATTATCAGTATTTGTGCTATTTTTACTGCAAAATGACGTACAAAACGAAGATGAGGAAAACTCTGAAAGCTAAAAGCATGCTAGCTGCCCGTAGAAGGTGCGAGCTGGCTAGAATCCGTGGATTACGCACTTTGACAAGTGAAGATCGAGGAGGCCTCTCAGCCGCGAGTGTGAGGAACTTGTCGCAGCCCGCTACCCCCCCCCCCCACAATCCCACCCTCTGCCACCGCACATTCTCCACCTTCTACTCCAGGTCTTGCACCTGCTACTCCAGATGTTCCACATGCTACTCCAGGTCTTCCACCTGCTACTCCAGGTCTTCCACCTGCTACTCCAGGTCTTCCACCTGCTACTCCAGACGTTCCACCTGCTACTCCAGACGTTCCACCTGCTACTCCAGACGTTCCACCTGCTACTCCAGACGTTCCACCTGCTACTCCAGACGTTCCACCTGCTACTCCAGACGTTCCACCTGCTACTCCAGACGTTCCACCTGCTACTCCAGACGTTCCACATGCTACTCCAGACGTTCTCGCTCTTGATGTTGCAGGGCCCAGCACCTCAAGTGCTGTTGCAGTCGTGTAATGGTAGAATTTGCCATGGCAATGACAGCTGTCAACTATAACGCTGGGTATGTGATGGGATCACTGAACAACCTCCTCGGTCTACCACTAAGTGACGTACGGGACTGGTACTTGAACAAAAAGGACAAGGATATGCAGAGACCAACGAGACCCACAACCAAACTAAGAAAGTCCCCTTAGGGAGCTGACCCCGGCTATGGCGCAGGTGCCTACTAGTGCCACTCCAGTGCCACCTTGAGGACCCATATTTCTGACCAATTATATTAGGTTAGTATGTTTTAGTGTTATATTGTGATATTACTTCATATATATTTGTACATATAAAACTGGTGGCAAATATATATATATATTTTTATTATTTTTTTTTTGTTTTATTAATATTTTTTTTATTATTTTATTTATCAGGCGATCTGCATGGAACTTGCACACCTTACTGAACCCATGCCTATCTACAAGGGTGCAAATTTTGAATGATATTGGTCAACATCAACCTCAGCTAAAGGTGGCTGAACTTTAACCTCCGTTTGTGCAGGTAAATATTTTACAATTTTATCTGATTTCACAGACTTTATTTATTATTCAATTTACATGAAACTTGCACATTATATGTAGAGTTTACGCCTCTAAAACATTGTGGTGGCTTTTCTTTCTACGTAGATTTATTGATTTTATAAATATTTATAAATATCATATTCTTGCATAGGATTTTTGGGAAATTTACAAAATCTGTATTATTGCACTAAATACATCTGGGATAAAAATCCACCAGACAAATCTTTATTATATAGTAAGGTCATAGCTAAGTGTCATAGAACTGATTTCGGTTCACAATTGTGGGCTGTGAAATGATTTGAACATTGTTGCAAAATTGTCTAAAAAAACATTTTTATTTTTTTCTCCCTCTCTATTTAGGCTGCGATGCTGAAACTTGGCCCAGTTGCAGCACCTTTCACATGTATCAGGATAATAAATTTTCAATGCCCTAAAACAACTTTTAATTTTCATCTAACAAACCCCTAAGTTGTTGTTTAAGTCTCTTCCAGACACAGATAAGAAATCATGTGGGTTACATGCCTTGGTGAAACAATGTTGCCCACCACATTGAGTTAAATTCATTAAAGTATCAGTGGGACGTCACATTGCACCAGGTACCACCCTTCAGGTGGCTGGGAGATGTGACAGGTTGTTGATCCCTCATCATTTGATCACAGTGCTTGATAAAGGTGCCCTTATTCTAGTTGTCAATCTCTCGCACAAAACCTATCGTTTCTGGGCAGGTGATAGGGTGTCTCAGGCTACAATTGTAGAAAATACAGGAATTTTTCAGTATCAAAGCCGGGAGGAGATGCCAGCCACCACAGCACAATGTAGTGCGCTGAATGTTACAGAAAGTATTACACAGGGTAAACACAAGACCGAGACAGGGAAAAGTAGTAATACGCAGGAAGTTGATAAGTTAATCTCGGCTCTGGATTTGCAACATGTGCAATAGTCAGATAGGAAACTTTTGAGAGGGATTTTACGTAAATTCCCTAGACTGTTTGCAACAGAAGACGATCAAATCGGGCTTCTGGATAGGATCGAGCATGTTATTCTTACAGGTGATCATCCTCCTATTTACACCCGTCAATAGAGGCTTCCGGAACGGGCGAAGGAAGTAATTAGGGATGAGTGTCAGACGATGTTGAGAAAGAATGTGATATAGCCTAGTACGTCACCATGGTTGTCGCCAGTAGTGTTGGTACGTAAACCGGATGGTAGTTATAGGTTTTGTGTTGACTACCGAAAGATCAATGCAATTACTAAGGGTGATGTGTATCCTTTGCCACGGATACAAGAAATAATAGATCAGTTTGGGGCAGCAAAATACTTTTCCACTCTGGATGCGAAATCTGCGTATTGGGCCATCCCAGTCGCTGAGAAGGATAGAGAGAAGACCGCCTTCTCTGATGGGGTTCAAACTTATCAATTCAAGCGGATGCCTTTCTGGTTAAAGACAGCGCCTTCATCATTTCAGAGGGCAATTAATTATATCCTCAGCCCAGTCTTGGGAAGGCACTCATTAGCGTACCTGGATGATGTGGTTATCTACTCCAGGACGTTTGATGAGCACTTACGAGATTTGACTGAGACGTTGGCACTGTTAGATAAGGCGGGTTTTAAACTCAATGTGGGGAAATGCACTCTGGCATCTCAGAAATTCAAGTTTCTGGGGTTCCGGGTGAGCACAGATGGTGTCCGACCTGACCCCGACTCCTGTCGTGCCATTGCTGACATGCCTACACCTAAGACGGCAAAGGATGTTCGACGATTTCTTGGGGCAGCCGGATATTTCCGTCGCCACATTAAGGGTTTTGCAAGTACATCAGCGCCGTTAACTGAGCTTACTAAGAAAAATGTTAAATTCGTTTGGAAACCTGAACATGATAACGCTTATGCAAAATTAAAAGGTCTGCTCATTACCACCCCAGTCTTGGCAGTACCTGATTTTGATAAGGAGTGGGAAGTACACACTGACGCCAGTGGCATAGCAATTGGTGGGTGCTTAATGCAACGTGATAATGACAATCTTCCTCACCCAGTTGCATATTTCAGCAGGAAGGTTAAGGGTCCGGAGGTCCGCTATTCTGCAACGGATAGGGAAGCTTTGGCTGTGGTAGAAAGTGTCAGGTACTTTGAACCATATCTTTTCCAACGACACTTTGTCATTTATACAAATCACAGGGCTTTAACTCATATTTTTAAGAAAAGAACTAAGTGCCCTCGCATGTCACGTTGGTCTCATGAACTAGCTGCTCACTCATTCCAAATACTTTACAAGCCTGGTCCATCACATGTTGTACCAGACACTTTGAGTAGAAACATTACTACTATTAACGCAAATCTTAATATTGAAAATATTTTCAGTGAGAAAATGCGAGAATTCCAGATGAACGAACCAAGGTGGCAAGAAATTATTGAACTTTTGGAGGGAGGAAAATATCCGTCGAAGAAACGTAATTTAGCAATTCATGATTTTGAAATGAAGGATGGGGTATTGAGTGAAGAGAGAAAGAGAATTACAACAGGGCTAGCGTTCAGAACCTTATTACAAGGGTATCAGGGTTATTACAATAGTGGCGGATTTAAATAAGTAAAGTAAATTAAATAAACTAATTCCCAAAATTTATTACTGAAGTTCATATTACCCGGGAGTCCATGATTACTGATTCCTTGCCTTCCTGGGTGATCGGTGATAGACACATTCAGGTATGGTTGGCTGGGAAGGTGGTGGCAGTGTTTTAATGATTTATTATTATTTTTTATAAATTAATAACCCTTGTCCTTGATGTATCTTCCTCATTTATTATTCCTCTTATATTCGTGGCCGTCCAGTGAGGGGTCATACTGGACTGTAACAGTGTTAAGCTGGGGTATTGAGTGAAGAGAGAAAGAGAATTACAACAGGGATAGCGTTCAGAACCTTATTACAAGGGTTTCAGGGTTATTACATACTGACCACAAGGGTTACTGCCACCATCATACTGACCACAGTTTTTACTGCCACCCTCACAATATCCACAGTGGTTACTGCCACCCAAACGCTAACCACAGTGGCTACTGCCATCCTCACACTAATCACTGCGGTTACTGCCACCTTCATACTAGCCAGAGTGGTTACTGCCACTTTCACACTGACCATAGTGGTTACTGCCACCCCTCACACTAACTACAGTAGTTACTGCCACCCCTCACACTAATCACAGTAGTTACTGCCACTCTCACACTAATCACAGTACATACTGCCACCCTCACACTAACCACTGTGGTTACTGCCACCATCACACTAACCACTGTGGTTACTGCCACCATCACACTAACCACTGTGGTTACTGCCACCATCACACTAACCACTGTGGTTACTGCCACCCTCACACTAACCACTGTGGTTACTGCCACCATCACACTAACCACTGTGGTTACTGCCACCATCACACTAACCACTGTGGTTGCTGCCACCATCACACTAACCACTGTGGTTACTGCCACCATCACACTAACCACTGTGGTTACTGCCACCATCACACTAACCACTGTGATTACTGCCACCATCACACTAACCACTGTGGTTACTGCCACCATCACACTAACCACTGTGGTTACTGCCACCATCACACTAACCACTGTGATTACTGCCACCATCACACTAACCACTGTGGTTACTGCCACCATCACACTAACCACTGTGGTTACTGCCACCATCACACTAATAACACTTCTGAGTGATTATAAATTAATACAAAAATATTTATAACTAATATGAAAGAACATAATTAATAAAATATATGAAAATTGAATGTTTGTTGTGGCGGGGGTGTGACCCTCCTGCCCTCTCAGCCCTCCTGCCCTCTCAGCCCTCCTGCCCTCTCAGCCCTCCTGCCCTCTCAGCCCTCCTGCCCTCTCAGCCCTCCTGCCCTCTCAGCCCTCCTGCCCTCTCAGCCCTCCTGCCCTCTCAGCCCTCCTGCCCTCTCAGCCCTGCTGCCCTCTCAGCCCTCCTGCCCTCTCAGCCCTGCTGCCCTCTCAGCCCTCCTGCCCTCTCAGCCCTGCTGCCCTCTCAGCCCTCCTGCCCTCTCAGCCCTCCTGCCCTCTCAGCCCTCCTGCCCTCTCAGCCCTGCTGCCCTCTCAGCCCTGCTGCCCTCTCAGCCCTCCTGCCCTCTCAGCCCTGCTGCCCTCTCAGCCCTCCTGCCCTCTCAGCCCTCCTGCCCTCCTGCCCTCAGCCCTGCTGCCCTCTCAGCCCTCCTGCCCTCTCAGCCCTCCTGCCCTCTCAGCCCTGCTGCTCTCTCAGCCCTGCTGCCCTCTCAGCCCTCCTGCCCTCTCAGCCCTGCTGCCCTCTCAGCCCTCCTGCCCTCTCAGCCCTGCTGCCCTCTCAGCCCTCCTGCCCTCTCAGCCCTCCTGCCCTCTCAGCCCTCCTGCTCTCTGAGCCCTCCTGCCCTCTCAGCCCTGCTGCCCTCTCAGCCCTCCTGCCCTCTCAGCCCTGCTGCTCTCTCAGCCCTCCTGCTTTCTCAGCCCTGCTGCTCTCTCAGCCCTCCTGCCCTCTCAGCCCTGCTGCTCTCTCAGCCCTCCTGCCCTCTCAGCCCTGCTGCTCTCTCAGCCCTCCTGCCCTCTCAGTCCTGCTGCTCTCTCAGCCCTCCTGCCCTCGCAGTCCTGCTGCTCTCTCAGCCCTCCTGCCCTCTCAGTCCTGCTGCTCTCTCAGGCCTCCTGCCCTCTCAGCCTTCCTGCCCTCTCAGTCCTGCTGCTCTCTCGGCAATCTTGCCTTCTCAGCCCTCCTGCCCTCTCAGTCCTGCTGCTCTCTCAGCCTTCTTGCCCTCTCAGCCCTGCTGCTCTCTCAGCCTTCCTGCCCGCTCAGCCCTCCTGCCCTCTCAGTCCTACTGCTCTCTCAGCTCTAAGCCCTCCTGCCCTCTCAGCCCTGCTGCTCTCTCACCTTTCTTCTCCCTCCTGCCCTCTCAGCCCTACTGCTTTCTCAGCTCTCAGCCCTCCTGCCCTCTCAGTCCTGCTGCTCTCTCAGCCCTCCTGCCTTCTCAGTCCCCCAGCCCTCTTTTAGTTTTGCTGCTCTCTCAGCTCTCAGCCCTCCTACCCTCTCAGCCCTGCTGCTCTCTCATCCATCCTGCCCTCTCAGCCCTCCTGACCTCTCAGTCCTACTGCTCTCTCAGCTCTAAGCCCTCCTGCCCTCTCAGCCCTGCTGCTCTCTCAGCTTTCTTGCCCTCCTGCCCTCTCAGCCCTCCTGCCCCCTCAGCCCTGCTGCTCTATCAGCCCTCCTGCCTTCTCAGCCCTCTCAGTCCTGCTGCTCTCTCAGCCCTCCTGCCCTCTCAGCCCTCCTGCTCTCTCAGTCCTGCTGCTCTCTCAGCCCTCCTGCCCTCTCAGCCCTGCTACTCCTTCAGCCCTCTTGCCCTCTCAGTCCTGCTGCTCTCTCAGCCTTTCTGCCATCTCAGCCC